ATCAAACAAGACACGAAGTAAGTTTGTGGATCCTTCAGCACTATCCACACTGCTCCGCCCCTTTTTTTCTCTCTCCTCTCAACAACCAACACTATTTGCTCTGACATTTGCTCTCTTCCACACTGTTGAATACCGTGGAAAAAGGTAAACATCTGCCGCCGGTTACATGAGCTGTTTTCGGGGAATTCTGCCGGAAAACTGCAAGGACAGCGGTTTCTTGAATCGTCTGGTCCATGTGACTGCGTTGAATTATCCTCCTTCGATAATGTTCTATGTTAATGCCTTATAGTTAAGAACTTGCATATATATATATATATATATATATATATATATATATATATATATATATATATATATATATATATATTATATATATATATATATATATATATATATATATATATATATATATATATATATATATATATATAATATATACATATATATATATATATATATATATATATTATATATACCGTCCTGCTGTATTTCCTTTGTGTAAGAGCGAACGCACACACATACACACACAACACACACGTATATACGTACACCACACGCACACGCTCTCGCACGCAAAGAAACACACACACACACACATATATATATATATATATATATATATATATATATATATATATATATATATATATATATATATATATATATATATATATATATATATATATATATATATATATATATATATATATATATATATATATATATATATATATATATTATATTATTTATATATATTATATATATATATATATATATATATATATATATATATATATATATATATATATATAATATATATATATATATATATATATATATGTGTGTGTGTGTGTGTGGTGTTTCTTTGCGTGCGAGAGCGTGTGCGATTTGTGTACGTATATACGTGTGTGTGTGTGTTGTGTGTGTGTGTGTGTCTGTGTGTGAAGTTGCGTAAAAGCCCTAGGGGCCCAAAGGGATTGTTTAGGCCCATTATGCACTAAGTTCACATTTCATGTCTTAAAATATAAAAAGTTTATTTTTTTTATATTCAGCATCGCTGTATTTCAACCCACAAAACTAACTGGGTGACACACACACACACAAATAATGATAATAATGAAATAAATAATAAATCATTTGCGAAGTCAAATAGCACAGAAGAGATTACAAGATACTGCATGTCAGTTGAACTTAATGGAAATTATTAATTCGTTCGCAAAGATGAAGGCAAGGAAGAATATGCGTGTGGACCAGTCTTAAATTCTTTTATTTACTTTTGCTGATTCTAGACAATTTCAAGTCAACTGTGTATATTTTCAAGCACCATACATATTCCAGCCGTGACACTGGTTAAGCCAAGTAACTTTTTTGTTTAGATTTTAAACGGTACATAGCCAATCAAAACATTTATATTAACCTGTGTGAGACTCCTGTACTTGAATATGTTAAATGATAACACCAAATGTGTTTCAGATTCTGTTTTTGGTTGAGACCAAATTTTTTATGCAGATCTATGAAATATACCTCACAACTGAGAGAATCATATGAAGTTTGTTTTACGCTGTGCACAATATAACGAGTGCATTTATATAACCTACCTTTTCTCAAAGCCTATAACTGTTTAAACTTTTAATGCCAGCATTTGCTAATAACGAGGTTATTTGCCTAAACATAAAATCTATCCTTAATATAACACGGCGTCATATATTTAAACTATATATATATATATTATTTTCCTCTCCTGGTTACGACCTATATATATATGTGTGTGTGTATATATATATATATATATATATATATATAATATATATATATATATATTATATATATATATATATATATTATATATATATATATATATATATATATATATTATATATATTTATATATTCATAAATGATGTAAAGGTATGTAAAACAATTAACTTATATACACACTTACACACACGCATATCTATAGTTAAGTGCCACATTGTTTATTAGGTTTTGTACCATGGACTATGTATCACAGTCACGTATGTTGAATTATTTTCACATCTTGTTAGACTGCTCCACATTACGACCTTCTGAATGCTTTCTGTCATGATTATTCATTGTATTTTCTGATTGGTATATTCAGAGGTTAAAGAAACATTATAACTGAGAATAAAATATTCATCCATTTTTTGGCGTTGTCGTGTTATTTGTGCCTTTACGAGAAACGATGCAAATCACCTAATTGAAGTCTTGATATTAGAGAAATCTGAGGAGAAGGGGGAACCAGAATCTTTCCCAGAGCCTTTAAATTCGTTTAATCTCATCTTGATACACTTGGTCATGAGTATTGTTAATAAATTCATTTGAGATGTACTGTAAACTGCAGATGGAGATTAGAAGAAGAGCCTTAGTTTTACTTTGCTTTATATATATATATATATATATATATATATATATATATATATATATATATATATATATATATATATATATATATATATATATGTATAAAAAAATAATGGCTTCATTTCTCATATGGAGGAGGAGGGTTTACTTTGCTTTACTTATATATACATATATATATGTATAAAAAATAATGGCTTCATTTTTCATATGGAGGAGGAGGGTAGGGAGGTGGAGGATCGAAATCCGGGGCGCTAGCAAAGAGCGTCCCTGCTGTAGGACCTGCGGCAGAAATCTGTTCGTAGGGCGGCGGCTGATCGTAATGGCTGGGGGGGCTGAATCCAGGCGCATACAAAGGCGGTGGCTGGTATTCAGGGGCGCTAGGGAAGGAATCACTTGGGTAAGGGTGATAAGGGTTGTAGGAGGCCGACGAGGAGGCTCCTGTAGGTGGCGTCTGCCTCGGAGAGCCTGAGGGATAGAAGTCTTTCCTGCCAGGGTACGAGTTGTTGCCTCCAGTTGTCGAGGAATTTAAAAGGGTGTAGGTGTGAGTGGCTGGACGGGACTCCGGAGCCCTGTTCGGGGCCTGGGGCGGAGGCGAAGGGCACTCGGCTGGTGCTTCGCCGGGGGTCGGCTGAGGGCCTGTGGGCGATGGGCCGGTTTCACTGGCGCGGCCCGGACTCCCCCCTGAATATTTGCATATTCTGTAACTGGCGAAGGCAATGATGATAATTACAGCTGTATAAAAAGAAAAAAAAGATCGTTTATAAAAATACATTGATAAATAAAAGAAAATAAAAGCAAGCATATATATATGCGTGCGCGCGCGCGTGTGTGCGAGTATGCGTGTATATTCATAACGAATAAATAAATAAATAAATAAATAAATATATATATTTTATATATATATATATATATATATATTATATATATATATATATATATATATATATAATACATAAACACACACGCATATGTGTGTATATATATATATAGAGAGAGAGAAAAGTATATATGCATAACAAAGCAAAATCCACGTACCTAGAATTATAATCAGACCCAGACCGTTGTGTTCCAGAACATCCAATGGTGAGGCGGCTAATATGACAATAATACCCAAAATAGTCGACAGCATTAGTGACACCAGTTTTACCATCCTATCCTGTAAGTGTCAACAGGAAGTAGTAAAATTGGTCAAAGCAAGTTATTGTGAATTAAACTAGGAATCGATGTACTCTGAAAGTCTTAGTTTTACATTTACATATCAAGAGTTGATTGTTAATCTGTAAAGTAGATAGGAAATGTATCACCAAGAGTAATAATTTGTGTCATATTTAAGAGAAAAGAAGAAATTTCATGAACACGAGTAAATGTGACAGAAAAAGGCATAATTTTGACACGCTTAAAAGTGCCATTCGAAAACGTCAATTAATTCCTTCAATCAATGAAATAGCAAAAAGAACAAATAGTTAACTAAATGAGTGACTAATCCCCAATTAAATAACAAATAATCACTCCTCACCGAAAAGCCACCGCTTGATAATTGCTGTGGCACGATTTGCACAGTCTGCTCTGTTGCGGGCACTGTGCCATTCTGGCTCATCGCTGCAACAGAGGATTTAAGTCGTGATAATACAGTACATTATATGAAGTACATAATGGAAGACAAACATTGGCATTGTTGTAATTGTTGTTATAAATCAACAGAGGATTCTGGAGGACAAACGTTGACATTACATTATATGAAGTACATAATGGAAGACAAACATTAGCATTGTTGTAATTGTTGTTATAAATCAAGCCTACATATAAAGGATTTTGGGTTTCAATGTGATAGGCTATAGAGGAAAGAGTATTTACTTGCATATTAATTGATTTTGTTTGAGTAAGTGTGTTATAATCAAGCGTGGGTTCGCTTCCTCTGAAACTAATGTAAGAAACAGGCGTATTTCCTATGGCTATTTATCAGTCTACGCTATGTATATCATCTTTAAATTGACAAAACAACAAATAATAAAAAATAATGACATATAATTCAAAGACAGCACAACAAATTTCACAATCAAAGGAGTAAGTGCATTCTACACTTACCCATGCTGCTCGTGTGACGTCACACTTTTATAAATATACGGTCTTCGTTGGCATGTACTTATTCCCCCATGTACATACCAGAGGCAAGAGAGTTAGTTCGCAATCGCCTAAACTTAATTTTCCTTGTTCAAATCTACCCTGTAGCATAGCATTGGTTCTATAAAATAAGAGAATAACAATTGAAGTACGTTTACGAAAATGGAGCAGTTACAATAGCTATATATATATATTTTTCTGTATAGTCATGAATTATCTGATCCCCCTTCATTCCTCCGTGCATGGCCGTGCATAAACGTTCCTTTTCTCAAATAGGAAAAGCTTAACAGAACAAATAAGCAAAACAGCCCATGCCTTCTCCACAAAATTCACTTCACCACCATCATAGTATTCGGAATAAGGGAACATATTTCTGAACTCTTTGCATCTAGACTTTCTATCCACTGGTCACTTCACGAATTCCCCTTCCCCTGAACTTTATCACACTGACGTCTCGTGCCAGGGCTCTTGTGCTTAAAATAACGAGATATCTGTAAACATTCACCTATACATATTTCCTGTCATGGTTGCTGTTATAACACGATGCATATTAGGCCATCTATAGCACAGAAGGTATGTTAGAGGTTGAGCTAAATGTTATCTAGCAAGTAAATCACATTCGGCATTCGCTGCCAGACGCATGACTAATGGAAATGTGGAAAATAGTGTTGGACATGTCAGTCACTTCGAGTTCTTCCCAGGTTAATGATTTGTGTGATGACTTTGAGGGTGAATCCAATATCATTATATTTTATATTTCAACTTTACCTCAATAGCTTAGAAACGAATGTTCGATAAAGAATGCACGAAAACGAACCTACACTCGCACTAGTGGGTATGTATGTGTGTGTGTGTGTGTGTGTGTGTGTGTGTGTGTGTGTGTGTGTGTGTGTATGTGTGTGTGTGTGTGTGTTTGCATATTTGAATATAATAAATGTTTATATAGACATTATAAACATTCAGATGCATATATGTGCATATATATACACTGATATATTCACTGATTAATGAATAAATTTTCATTTTTATCTATCCATTTATTTATTTGTTCATCCATTATTATTCTTAAATATCTACATCACATACAATTTGTAGAGACAACTACTGATACTTTTACCTATTCTATTTTATTAATATCACTAATATCAAATATACGCACTTCACTTTGTCGATAGTACTTACCGATCTTGTTCATCTTGTCCTATAAATGATATACCAAAATAACAGGAAAAATAACAGGCATGTGAACACAATGTTGGACGATGTGATGGTGAAAGGATAAGTGCAATAAAGAGGTAGTTTTCGTGGATTTAATTGCAGTTTCCCAGCGTTTCTTCCGTCTGTAGACACAGCTCCTCCCACAGAGTTGTTGAATGTCTCTCTCTTTCTCTCTCTTTCTCTCTCTCTCTCTCTCTCTCTCTCTCTCTCTCTCTCTCTCTCTCTCTCTCTCTCTCTCTCTCTCTCTCTCTCTCTCTCCACTCTCACTCTCCTCCTCTCCCATCCCTCCTCTCCTCTCTCTCTCTCTCTCTCTCTCTCTCTCTCTCTCTCTCTCTCTCTCTCTCTCTCTCTCTCTCCTCCCCCCCCCCCCTCCTCTCTCTCTCTCTCTCTCTCTCTCTCTCTCTCTCCTTCCTTCTCTTCCCTCCCTCCATTCCCTCCCTCCCTCCCCTCTCTCCTCTCTTCTCTCTCTCTCTCTCTCTCTCTCTCTCTCTCTCTCTCTCTCTTCTCTCTCTCTCTCTCTCTCTCTCTCTCTCTTCGCATGTGGCAATCGCTCTCACGGGACGGGGAATGTGGAGCAATGTGGCACACAAACCTCTCTATACTCTGGCTTCGTCACTAGGGGCGGCTCACAGACTCACGCGAAGTTTCGTGTGTCTCAAGAACTTCAGTCGGGCTCCTCCTTCCCTTCCTTGTTCTTGTCTTCTTCTTGTCCTCTTTTTCTTGGCCACGGTCTCCTCTTCCACCTCAGGCACCCTCTCCGCTTCCTCCCCCTCCCTCTTCCCCCTTTCCCCTCCTCCATCTGTTGTTGCATGGGTGTTGCGCATTGCATCGTGTTACGCTATTATTTTCATTATTACTATTTTTTGTTATTATTATTATTATTATTACTACTACTATTATTAATTGTACTTTTATTATTATCATTATATTGTTGTCTTATTATTATCATTATTATCGTTATAATTTGACTGACATGGTAATTTCACGCGGTCTTACATGAGGAAACAACGTGATGTGTGCTTTTCTTCGTGCACAGCCATGCCTCTTCCAGATAAAGAAGTATATGTGTATGTATAAGTGTAGCACACAAAAACTTACACACAGACACACTTTTTATTTTTTTATTATTATTTTTTTTCACAACTTTCAACGTCATTGATGAATAAGTGGTTAGGAATTTTTGCGGTTGACATGAAGATGAAAGTTACCCCTATAAAGCGCATATCGTTTTCTATAACTTTTAACTTTCCTTTTTAAGCGGTGACTGAGGTATTAAGTGACTGAAGTACAATCCATGACATAAAACTAACCACAATAAAGTAATAATATCAATGCAAATATTGGTGGTGAGGATGATGAAGAGGAGGAGGATAAAGAATGATAATATAACAATAACTACATTGATAATAAGTGTGATGAAATGTGACATAAGAAATTATGATAATAATGATAGTGATAATGATAATGACAAAAATGATAATGATGGTAAAATAAAGAGTATGATAATAATAATAACAACAATGGTGATGATAATAATAATAGGGATAATGATAATGATGATGGTATTAATAATAGTTAAAATCGCGATAATAATAATGATTATAATAATAATAATGATAACATTAATGATAATAATGATAACTATAATAATCATGATGATGATGATGATGATGATGATGATGATGATGATGATAATAATAATAACAACAACAATGTAAATAATAGTGAAACGTCTCTACTGTGTGTGTAACTTTCTCAGACGAGCGAAGACAGATGTAAC